TTATGAGTGGCGGCCCCCCCCCCCCCCCCCCCCCCGCGTGGTTTATACACACCCCGTCATGCACTTCTGAGAGCATCCTCTTCGCTTCTTCTTCATCGAGGCACCGCAGCATGGGGTGTCAAGAATCCCATTCGATAGAGAATATCGTCGTGCATGGTGAATCTCGACACCTGGTACTTCAACATTTTCGCTTGCTGTTTGTCCTCTGGAGTTCGCCGTCGACCAAATATCTGATTATTGGGTCCTTCTAGCTCGGCTGGCGACTTATTGAAATGACTTTAGGCTTTCCCTTGGTGGAAGGAGCTTTTAAGACCTCCATGGGTACTAGCTTCAACAGCTCGGCATCCTTTGAGGTGGCTAGCCTAGCTAGGGTGTCAGCGTTGCTATTTTTTGCCCTTGGCACTTGTTGTATGTCGTAAGTCGTGAGTTTTTCTAAGGCCTCTTTAACCTTCTTAAGGTAGGCTACCATCTTTTCATCCCTAGTTTGATATTGGTCTTTCACTTGGTTCACGACTAGCTGTGAATCGTTGAAGATGTCTATAACCTCCACTTTTAAGTGTTCTGCCAACCGGAGTCCGGCCAGCAACGCTTCATATTCTGCTTCATTGTTAGATGCGGGGAATTCAAACCTGACGGCCGAGGTTATTTTGTGACCCTCTGGGATATGTAGTACCAATCCTACTCCACTACCGTTGTAATTGGAGCTTTCGTCGACGTAGAGCTTCCATCTGAGGGGCCCGCCAACAACCTCTGCTTCGTCTGGCAACCTAGTGAACTCAGCAACAAAGTCAGCCATGGCTTGGCCCATGATGGGTATCCGTGGCTTGTAGTCAATGTCGAACTGGCTGAGCTCTATGGACCACTTAAGGAGTCTCCCATAAGCGTCAGGCTTTTGCAGTACCTACCTGAGGGATGGTTTGTCAAAACCTGAATGTTATGGGCCTGACAATAATGGCGTAGCTTTCTCGACATCACCACTATCGCGAGGGTGAGCTTTTCCATCTGCAGATACCTCGTCTCTGCGTTAAGGAGGCGCTTGCTAGTGTAATACACCGGCAGTTGCACCTTCTTCTCTTCGCGGACCAACACCGAACTAATGGCGAGTTGAGAGACTACTAGGTACAGGCTCAGCACCTCTCCTGCCGTAGGCTTGGACAGTAGGGGTAGCTTCCCAATGTGTTCCTTTAATTGTTGGAACGCATGTTCGCATCCCTCTGTCCATTGAATCGGCTTGCTTCCTCTCAGGGTGTCAAAGAACGATATGTACTTATTTGTAGATTTTGAAATTAACCTATTGAGTGCGGCAATACAGCCCATTAGCTTCTGGACTTATTTTGGTTTCCGTGGTGATTTCATGTTAAGGAGCGACTGCACCTTTTCCGGATTAGCTTCGATCCCTCGACTGCTCACCATGAAACCTAGGAATTTTCCCGATTTGACCTCGAACGCACACTTGAGGGGGTTCAGCTTCATCATGTACTTCTGCAGGACATTGAACATTCCCCGAAGGTCTTCCACATGATCCTCAGACTTCCTACTCTTTACCAGCATATCGTCCACATATACCTACATCGTTTTACCTATCTGGTCTTCGAACATCATGTTGACTAGTCATTGATATGTTGCTTCCGTGTTTTTAAGGCCAAAAGGCATAACTTTATAGCAATACAGGCCCCTGTCAGTGACGAACGATGTATGCTCTTCATCGTGGTGAAACATCAGTATCTGGTTATAACTAGAATACGTGTCCATAAAACTCAGAAGTTCGTGCCCTGCCGTGGCATCAACCAGCTGATCTATCCTTAGGAGCGAAAAGTTATCCTTTGGGCAGACTTTGTTTAGGTCGCTGAAGTCGACACAGGTCTGCCACTGTCCGCTTGGTTTTAGTACTAGTACTAGGTTCGAAACCCACTCGGGGTACATAACTTCCCAGATGAAGTCGTTTCTTATTAACCTGTCGACCTCCTCCCGTAGAGCTTCATACCTCTCGGCGTTCAATGGTCAACGCTTTTACCTCTTTCTCATCTATGTTGAGCGTGTAACTCATTATGTCCGGGCTTATCCCCTCCATGTCCTCGTGGGTCCAGGCGAACACGTTAGGATTGCCCCTGAGGAATGCTATCAGCCCTTCCTGGCTATGTTCTTCAAGTTTCGAGCCTACCCTCAATTTTCTTGTAGGCTCTTCTTCGTCAATGGGGACCTCGATCAATTCTTCGACTGGCCCCGTTTCTGTATCTTCATTAGAGAGTCTTGGATCGAGGTTGACCTCATCTGCTTTGGTCACTACCATCCTCATCTTTGTTCTCGCCTGCCCTGGCTCGACATAGTGGCGGACCGTCTCTAATTATGTGAGCCTCGACTCGTACTGATTTCCCCTGACTCTTTTGATTCCGCTGGGGGTTGGGAATTTCATCATTTGATGGTAGATCGATGTGACTACTTTCAATTCCTTCAGCATCGAGTGCCATATGACTGCGTTGTACTGGTCACCTCCCTTCACCACTAAGAACCGTGACATAATGATCGAGGTGTGTGGTCGGTCACCAATAGTCATGGGCAGTTCTATCATTCCCTTAGGAACGATGCAATCCCCGGTGAAGCCGTACAAGGGCTGCGTGTTGTTCTGCAGTCTCTCCCGAGGGATCCCCATCTTGTCGAGGCAATCAGCGTACAAAATATCTACCGAGCTGCCATTGTCCACTAGGATGCGGCAGACCGTGTGGTTATCTATCATGGCCTCCACTACTAGAGTGTCACTTTGGGAGAAATGCACCCCATTTGCGTCCGCCTCCAAGAACATTATCTCGGCCTCTTCATATCTTCCAGCCTTCGCCTCCCTACCGGACACACTCATGATCCTCTGGTTGAACTTGTCCTTCACCTCCATCGCGTACTCTTTTGGTGAGCAGCGAGAGGTACCGCCAAGATACGGCCCTCCGAAGATCGTCTTTATCACGCCGAAAGGTTCGGGAGGATGGTCTTGCCTTTGGCCCGTCGGTCGTTGTTCCTCCGATTGTTGTTGCCCCGTCGATCAACTCGGTACTCACTGAGCCTCCCTTCCCAGATCAACCTCTCGACCTCATCCATTAGGTCGAAACATTAGGTGGTCGCGTGTCCGCTCTCGCCATGAAACCTACAATACTTGTTTTGGTTTCTCGGCGCTGGGTCGGACTTCAGCGGCGGTGGGCGACGTAGTACTTGGAGGTGACTGGTCTCGTGCTAGACGTCCTCGATCCCCATGGTTAAAGGGGTGTAGGTGTCATACTTTTGCGGTTTGCCTTGTTTGATGTCTCCCTACCCCGCCGAGGCGTTGTCACCCCTGATGTTTGGGGCCGGGTTATACCTTTGCTTAGTTTGCACTTGAGGATTACCTCAGTGCTTCTTGCCATTGTTTTGGTGGCTCGGCTGTCCCCCTTCTTCTTTTGTGGGAGCCACCACATTGCTTTTTAAGGCCTTTTTGGCCTCCTCTGCGTTAATGAATCCCTGGGCCATTGCCAGGAATTCTTGGTATGTCTGGGGTGGTCTCCGGTCGAGATCTGTACTGAACGGGATATCCTGCTTCATGCTCGACAAGGCCCCCATCAAAGCTACCTCATCGGAAATCCCCTCGGTGGCGGCCACATGTTCCCCCAACCGGGCTATCCAATCTCTTAGGGACTCGTTTGGTCCCTGATACACCCTTGAAAGGTTTTGCTTCGGTGGGATGTAATTTTTGACACCTATAAACTGAGTCAGGAAGGCGTTCTTCAAGTCATCCCAGCTGGTTATGGAGTTCAATTTTAAGGACCTAAACCATCTCCTGGCGGAGTCAGAAAGATGATTTCTGAACGCACAGCACATGACCTCCTCGGGGTATCTGTGTAGGACTATGTGCCCCATGTAGATTTCCAAGTGGTTGTTCGGGTCACTCCTTCCATCATATAGTGGAATAGGTGGCGGCTTGTACTTATCGTGCAATGACACCTGGATGATGTTCTCTGTGAATAGGTGTTTGTGAGACATATACTTCTTGGCGTCGACATTCACGGCCTCAGCCACCTTCCCCATGACTTGCTCAAAGTTGTTCAGCTGACTCCCTATTTGCTTTTCTAGTCTAGCCATCTTCTCAGCCAGAGCTTTATTCTCAGCCGTGAGTTCTTCTTCCTTTGTCCGCTACACGTCTCGGTCGCGTCGAACGTTCAGCCGCTCCCTCAGGTCTCCTCCGTACACAGACGAAGACTCTATCAGGATCGCGTTCCTCAGGTTCACATCCTCCTGCAGTCGAGGAGGTACCTCTCGGTCATTTGCTATTTGGGCCGCAGCCCTCTCCTGGGCTCTCCTCCTGGCAACTCGTTGCCTGCTCCCCACAGATCTGTTCGACTTGGCTGGGCGAGGGTTGTTGGCCCCGCTGTCATCGACCCCCTCGACATCACCACGTCGGTCACCAATTACTTGGTTCCCAACGGTGGCGTTCACCGGGTTCATCAGCGCATCCTTTAACGGCGACATCGAATCTGGCATGTGTTCCTGTCCGGCGAGGGCTATGGCCATCCTTTCTACGGCCACAGCAAGTGTTTCGACCTGCCTTTGGAGTTGGTCAAGGCGGTCTAGGGGGTTTCCAACGGCTTGTGGTTGCGCCCTGCGGTTGGCCGTACCCCCGCTGGTTCCTGGCCGCCGTTGGGCGGATTTGTCAGATTCCTTCCTCTAAGGGCCGAATTATGGCCTTCTTGGCTTTTCTGAGTTGCGGTCATGCTACGAGTCTTTCTCGGAGCCATACTCACTGCTTACTGCTGGATTGATTTCTTAGGTTCCTGGCCCTCCTTCTAGCACCAATTGTTGACGGTGGTTTTCTATCAACTGGAAATAAACTCTCCGAGAACACTTACAGTAACCTCTCACGAATTGATTAGGGATTAATACTGCAGATTAATATAGAGAAGACAAGAATTTATAGTGGTTCGGCAAGATTTCTTCGCCTAGTCCACTTGTGGATGCACTAATACTCTTTTTATTACAATTTCTCCGGGATAGTTGAATAGTGCGTAAAAAACTTAATGAATTCTCATGGCTCTATTTATAGGCTTTGTACACATGAGAGATCCCCTTTATATTTCCTGAGGAGATCATCCTCTATCCCTTAATTCTGAGATTTGGCAGTTGTATTTCCATGATTACAGCTTCCCAGTCAGGGGAACCACTCTTACCAGCTACCTGATTTTCTGACTTCGACAGTAGTAGTTGATACAGTATATCTTTCCTTGAGTTGACAGGACTATCTTTGGATTATACTGGGCCGCTTCCTCGACGTTGTGGCCTTTGCCACCTCATCGGGGCTCTCGACGCATGTCGTCCCGCCTGAACTCTCGACATATGAAGGCCACATTAGCTATAGTTGATCCCTTAACGCTAGCGATCGATTCTCGACATGGAAGCCTCGGAGCGGTCAATTCTTCAGCTGTGGTGTAACATAAATTATTAACTTTCCCTACATGATGTCAAAAGAAGAAAAAGAAAAAGATAGAAGCGCTTGGATCATTTTTCTTTCTTGTACGGGCGTTATGGTGAAATAAAATGAAATATTGGAATAACTCACCGGCCGTGCACGGAAGGAAAATGATGAAGCAACATACAACGACAAACAAATATTCTTTTCCCATCTTTTCAACAATTATGACTCAATCTTTTCTCATCGTTTAATTAATTAAATAAAATAATAATTTCGGAATATTTGTTCTTAGAAACCTGTTGGCTTAAATAAAGCTGCTTTTAATTTATTTTTAATCCAAAACTCTTGTAATTAAAACCGTTCTAGACAGCTCAAAAGGCTTTTTGAGTTTTATAAACTGTTGTGGAATATGCCGACTTTTTAGTGATCATTAAAAATAAAGTGTATATGAAAAGTTTTTTTAATTACATTTTTAACTTTTTATTTGTAAATAACACATTCAAAATTTCATAAAATCGTTATGTTACCTTACTTTCATGACAAATAAGAGGTTTTGACTTATTTAACTAAATAAGTTTAAAAATTATATATATATAATTTAAACACTAATTAAAAAGTCTTAATTCATACTTTTTTTACTGCATAAAGTAAAATAAAAGGCTATATTGGATGGACCCTTAATGCATATGAGGTTTTAATTATTTGGATCAGAAGTACTGCCTCGTTTGTAGAAAAATGAATGAAAATTCATGAGGAGAAAACGGAGTAGCTGGTAAATTTCCTTTTGTAGGACTGGGATATGCCTCCCTGAAAAATAATATAAAAAAAAAATTAGGGAAAAATGTAACTGTTAAATTGATTTTGACGCAGAATTGTTGCTCCGATATAAACATATTTCTTTTCGTTTTTTTTAAACTATATATTCTAGTTTGGTTATAACTTAACAGACGCATCGTGGATTAGATACCTATTAGAGATCTTGAAAGATGAAGACAAGTTTTTGAAATTAATGGATTTTTAGACAGGCATACGATGTAATCAAAAGTTCAATCTTATATTTTTTTTTGTTAATAAAACGACTACCCTTTTAAAGAAAATAACGTTAATGACCAACTGTGAAAGCAAGAAATAACGTACGTTAAAACAATCATGCGACCACGAACACATAAAACGACTACCCTTTCAAAGAAAACAACGTTAATGATCAACTGTGAAATCAAGAAATAACTTACGTTAAAACGGCCATGTGACCACGAACACACCCCACTTTTTTTCTGGTGAATGAGATCAGGGCCAAGTTATAAACGTCGGCCTCGTTCGTTTCGCTGATTCGAGTTTAAAATTCAAGTTTTATTACAGTAAAAAAACTCTCACAAACAGTCACATCTAACTTTTTTACTACAGTAAAAAATTCTCACATAAAATCACATCTCAACTCGAATTCTAAACTCGAATCAACGAAACGAACGAGACAATAATATACTTTTCACGTATTAAAAAAAACAACGTTAATGATTAACTGTGAAATCAAGAAATAACTTACGTTAAAACAGTCATGCGACCACGAACACACCCCACTTTTTTTCTGGTGAATGAGATCAGGACCAAGTTATAAACGTAATGTACTTTTCAAGTACTAAAAAAAATGAATTAATTTAACGGGTGCTTTTTAAAATTTAGGTTCATTCTCACTTTACTTCATGAATTTTAAATACTCTCATTTTACCCTATAAGTTTAGAATTATTCTCACTTAACCCTTTCTGTTATAATTTCTATTAAAAACATATAAAAAAAGAGAGTAATGTAATCACGTTGCCTTTTTATTTGAATTTATGTTAAAAATAATTAGATAAAAACCACATGATCACACTTAATCTATTTTTAACATATTTTACAACAAAAGAAATTGTGTGAACAATTTAAAATTTAAGAAGTAAAGTGAAAATTTTTAAAATTTAGAAAGCAAATGATCCTAAAATTTAGGGCATCAATGTTAATAATCTGAAAAAAAATAGTAATGTACTCGCTACTTTTCTGCTTCTTTCGTTTGTTTTAAAATAACATTGTAAAAAATGGGTTAAATTAGGATTAATTTAAAATTTCAGAATAAAGTGAGAGTTTTTAAATTTAAGAAACAAAATAAAAATGAATTTTAGGGGCACGGCTGAAATTGCTTCTAAATTATATTTGTACCTTGACCTGTAGTTCATATGTATCCTTTTGTGTATAATTTAATAATTACTTTTTCCTTAAACGACATTCCGTTTCAGTCACTTGTAACTTTGTGGATTCTGAAAGTGTGGAATAAGTGCTGGAACTTTGGACAGGCCGCCCGCGACCGCCTGAAAAGCCCGAGTTTTTGCCTGAGCCTGAGCCCGAGCCACCCGAGAAATTCGGGCTGCCCGCCCGAGCCCGAATTTCACCTTGAACGGGCCGCGAGCTTGTATTA